AGACCATAAAGAGCCATGAGGAGAGAGATCAGCTCAGACTATAAGGAGCCGTGAGGAGAGAGATCAGCTCAGACTATAAAGAGCCATGAGGAGAGAGATCAGCTCAGACCATAAAGAGCCATGAGGAGAGAGATCAGCTCAGACTATAAAGAGCCGTGAGGAGAGAGATCAGCTCAGACTATAAAGAGCCATGAGGAGAGAGATCAGCTCAGACCATAAAGAGCCATGAGGAGAGAGATCAGCTCAGACTATAAGGAGCCGTGAGGAGAGAGATCAGCTCAGACTATAAAGAGCCGTGAGGAGAGAGATCAGCTCAGACTATAAAGAGCCATGAGGAGAGAGATCAGCTCAGACTATAAAGAGCCATGAGGAGAGAGATCAGCTCGGACTATAAAGAGCCGTGAGGAGAGAGATCAGCTCAGACTATAAAGAGCCATGAGGAGAGAGATCAGCTCAGACCATAAAGAGCCATGAGGAGAGAGATCAGCTCAGACCATAAAGAGCCATGAGGAGGGAGATCAGCTCGGACTATAAAGAGCCATGAGGGGAGAGATCAGCTCAGACCATAAAGAGCCATGAGGAGAGAGATCAGCTCGGACTATAAAGAGCCATGAGGAGAGAGATCAGCTCAGACTATAAAGAGCCATGAGGAGAGAGATCAGCTCAGACTATAAAGAGCCATGAGGAGAGAGATCAGCTCAGACCATAAAGAGCCATGAGGAGAGAGATCAGCTCAGACCATAAAGAGCCATGAGGAGAGAGATCAGCTCAGACTATAAGGAGCCGTGAGGAGAGAGATCAGCTCAGACCATAAAGAGCCATGAGGAGAGAGATCAGCTCAGACTATAAAGAGCCATGAGGAGAGAGATCAGCTCAGACCATAAAGAGCCATGAGGAGAGAGATCAGCTTGGACTATAAAGAGCCGTGAGGAGAGAGATCAGCTCAGACTATAAAGAGCCATGAGGAGAGAGATCAGCTCAGACCATAAAGAGCCATGAGGAGAGAGATCAGCTCAGACCATAAAGAGCCATGAGGAGAGAGATCAGCTCGGACTATAAAGAGCCATGAGGAGAGAGATCAGCTCAGACTATAAAGAGCCATGAGGAGAGAGATCAGCTCAGACCATAAAGAGCCGTGAGGAGAGAGATCAGCTCAGACCATAAAGAGCCATGAGGAGAGAGATCAGCTCAGACCATAAAGAGCCATGAGGAGAGAGATCAGCTCGGACTATAAAGAGCCATGAGGAGAGAGATCAGCTCAGACTATAAAGAGCCATGAGGAGAGAGATCAGCTCAGACTATAAAGAGCCATGAGGAGAGAGATCAGCTCAGACTATAAAGAGCCATGAGGAGAGAGATCAGCTCAGACCATAAAGAGCCATGAGGAGAGAGATCAGCTCGGACTATAAAGAGCCATGAGGAGAGAGATCAGCTCAGACCATAAAGAGCCATGAGGAGAGAGATCAGCTCAGACCATAAAGAGCCGTGAGGAGAGAGATCAGCTCAGACTATAAGGAGCCATGAGGAGAGAGATCAGCTCAGACCATAAAGAGCCATGAGGAGAGAGATCAGCTCGGACTATAAAGAGCCATGAGGAGAGAGATCAGCTCAGACCATAAAGAGACATGAGGAGAGAGATCAGCTCAGACCATAAAGAGCCGTGAGGAGAGAGATCAGCTCAGACTATAAGGAGCCGTGAGGAGAGAGATCAGCTCAGACCATAAAGAGCCGTGAGGAGAGAGATCAGCTCAGACCATAAAGAGCCATGAGGAGAGAGATCAGCTCAGACTATAAGGAGCCATGAGGAGAGAGATCAGCTCAGACCATAAAGAGCCATGAGGAGAGAGATCAGCTCAGACTATAAAGAGCCGTGAGGAGAGAGATCAGCTCGGACTATAAAGAGCCATGAGGAGAGAGATCAGCTCAGACCATAAAGAGACATGAGGAGAGAGATCAGCTCAGACCATAAAGAGCCGTGAGGAGAGAGATCAGCTCAGACTATAAGGAGCCGTGAGGAGAGAGATCAGCTCAGACCATAAAGAGCCGTGAGGAGAGAGATCAGCTCAGACCATAAAGAGCCATGAGGAGAGAGATCAGCTCAGACTATAAGGAGCCATGAGGAGAGAGATCAGCTCAGACCATAAAGAGCCATGAGGAGAGAGATCAGCTCAGACCATAAAGAGCCATGAGGAGAGAGATCAGCTCAGACTATAAGGAGCCATGAGGAGAGAGATCAGCTCAGACCATAAAGAGCCGTGAGGAGAGAGATCAGCTCAGACCATAAAGAGCCATGAGGAGAGAGATCAGCTCAGACCATAAAGAGCCGTGAGGAGAGAGATCAGCTCAGACCATAAAGAGCCATGAGGAGAGAGATCAGCTCAGACCATAAAGAGCCATGAGGAGAGAGATCAGCTCAGACTATAAAGAGCCATGAGGAGAGAGATCAGCTCAGACTATAAAGAGCCATGAGGAGAGAGATCAGCTCAGACCATAAAGAGCCATGAGGAGAGAGATCAGCTCAGACCATAAAGAGCCGTGAGGAGAGAGATCAGCTCAGACCATAAAGAGCCGTGAGGAGAGAGATCAGCTCAGACTATAAAGAGCCATGAGGAGAGAGTGGCCGTTTCCGTTCCTGAGATCAGCTCTGACCATAAATCTCCAGACCATAAAACTCCAACGGACCAATAAAAACAAAGTGACGGAATTATCAGAAATAAAGGAGGAAGCAGTGGATTCTGAACGTTTCTGTGAGAGCGGACTGTCATGGCCGCCGGCGCTGCTCAGGGCCGTGTGACCGTCATCTGAGAGAGACACAGCTGCCCTGGGGCACACTGACAGCAGCGAGGCAACCAGTCTGTGCCATCGGCCCCTCCCACCACCACCACTCACACACCAGACTCATTCTAATGTGGGGGAAGTGTCTTGCCTAAGGACACAACCACAGTTTGGCACTTTACAGCCGCAGCTGCCCCACTGTGGCACCTGCTGTTCAGAGGTCTCCCATCACAGCACTAACCAGGCCCTGCCCTGCTTTGCTTCAGAGGTCTCCCAACACAGTACTAGGCCCTGCGCATGCAAGTACAGCCATATGGAGAAAGGAGAAGGTGCCACAGCCAAGGCAAACAGGACCACAGCTGCAGACCACAGCTGCAGACCACAGACTACAGCTGCAGACCACAGACCACAGACCACAGCTGCAGACCACAGACCACAGCTGCAGACCACAGACCACAGCTGCAGACCACAGACCACAGCTGCAGACCACAGGCCACAGCTGCAGACCACAGACTACAGACCACAGCTGCAGACCACAAGCCACAGCTGCAGACCACAGACCACAGCTGCAGACCACAAGCCACAGCTGCAGACCACAGACCACAGCTGCAGACCACAGGCCACAGCTGCAGACCACAGCCTACAGACCACAGCTGCAGACTACAGACCACAGCTGCAGACCACAGCCTACAGACCACAGCTGCAGACCACAGACCACAGCTGCAGACCACAGACCACAGCTGCAGACCACAGCCTACAGACCACAGCTGCAGACTACAGACCACAGCTGCAGACTACAGACCACAGCTGCAGACCACAGACCACAGCTGCAGACTACAGACCACAGCTGCAGACCACAGCTGCAGACCACAGCTGCAGACCACAGACCACAGCTGCAGACTACAGACCACAGCTGCAGACCACAGCCTACAGACCACAGCTGCAGACCACAGCTGCAGACCACAGACCACAGCTGCAGACCACAGCCTACAGACCACAGCTGCAGACCACAGACCACAGCTGCAGACTACAGACCACAGCTGCAGACTACAGACCACAGCTGCAGACCACAGCCTACAGACCACAGCTGCAGACCACAGCTGCAGACCACAGACCACAGCTGCAGACCACAGCCTACAGACCACAGCTGCAGACCACAGACCACAGCTGCAGACCACAGCTGCAGACCACAGCTGCAGACCACAGACCACAGACCACAGCTGCAGACTACAGACCACAGCTGCAGACCACAGACCACAGCTGCAGACCACAACCTACAGACCACAGCTACAGACCACAGCTGCAGACCACAGCTGCAGACCACAGACCACAGCTGCAGACCACAGCTGCAGACCACAGCTGCAGACCACAGATTCGGATCAATTGTCTTTGTTGAGTAATAATATGGCACAATTGATTATCAAGGCAATTCAAAGTGCTTCACACAAGAACTTACTACTTACTCACAAGTCTAAGTCTAAGGTCTCTAAGTCTAAGGTCTCTAAGTCTAAGGTCTCTAAGTCTAAGGTCTCTAAGTCTAAGGTCTCTAAGTCTAAGGTCTCTAAGTCTAAGGTTTCAAAATCTAAGGTCTCTAAGTCTAAGTCTCTAAGTCTAAGGTCTCTAAGTCTAAGTCTCTAAGTCTAAGGTCTCTAAGTCTAAGGTCTCAAAATCTAAGGTCTCAAAATCTAAGGTCTCTAAGTCTAAGGTTTCAAAATCTAAGGTCTCTAAGTCTAAGGTTTCAAAATCTAAGGTCTCTAAGTCTAAGGTCTCAAAATTTAAGGTCTCTAAGTCTAAGGTTTCAAAATCTAAGGTCTCTAAGTCTAAGGTCTCAAAATCTAAGGTCCCTAAGTCTAAGGTTTCAAAATCTATGGTCTCTAAGTCTAAGGTTTCAAAATCTAAGGTCTCTAAGTCTAAGGTTTCAAAATCTAAGGTCCCTAAGTCTAAGGTCTCTAAGTCTAAGGTCTCTAAGTCTAAGGTCTCTAAGTCTAAGGTCTCAAAATTTAAGGTCTCTAAGTCTAAGGTTTCAAAATCTAAGGTCTCTAAGTCTAAGGTCTCAAAATCTAAGGTCCCTAAGTCTAAGGTTTCAAAATCTAAGGTCCCTAAGTCTAAGGTCTCTAAGTCTAAGGTCTCTAAGTCTAAGGTCTCTAAGTCTAAGGTCTCTAAGTCTAAGGTCTCTAAGTCTAAGGTCTCTAAGTCTAAGGTCTCTAAGTCTAAGGTCTCTAAGT